ATGGCTAAAACGTCTTAGAATTTTACGCTGATCAAGAATATATATACTTTGTTGGGTCTGACATGAGTATTTCGAGGAGGAATGACAAAGTTAATATACCCTTCATAGAATGGTGGAGGGTATAAACATCATGCGCACAAATACTGGCGGGAAAAAGGATGTTTGACTCCCAGGAATATCAAAATGGAACAAGCCAATACAACCATTTATAACGTGTCTAGGAAACCCAAACACGGTGGATGTAGATACATTTTGTATACCCTCCACCATTCTATGAAGGGTATATTAACTTTGTCATTCCGTTTGTAACTACTCGAAATATTCATAATAGACCCAACAAAGTATATATATTCTGCATCAGCGTAAAATTCTAAGACGATCCAGCGATATCCGTATGTCTGTTGTAATCACGCTATCTTTCCAACGAATTGAGATTTTGCATACGTGCATAGTTTACCAGTAGGCAGGCTAAGTTCGTAAATGGGACATGTCGGTCCACGTTTTCCTATAGCCCCCATATATTGGTAACTCCCGATATTTGGTATTTTCATTATTTTAAATTTCGTAATGGGTACTACTGCCTATGACAAACTTTTTTGTATGCAGTTTCATGTCTTCGCATAGCCCCATATAACGGTACCTCCCAAAATTCGGTAGGTGCTACATTATTAACCTATTCTTCAAGTTTTGCTTTTGAATATTGTAATGGCTTTTGACAAAAGTTGCTTAAACAGGTTCACATAGTCGTATAGACCCTAAAATAACAGCTACATTCGGTATTTTTAAGATTTTAACAGAATTTTTAACGGATTTTATTTGTTTTGAAATTGCCAAATTCGTTCCAAATGGTGGAGGGTATTCAAAGTTCGGTCCGGCCGAACTTACACATTTTGTATCTATTTATTTTTTAAGTTCAACTGCATTATCCAAACTGTCTTACTGGTATGTGTAGTTTATAAACATGTCTTTATCTAATGGTTTTTATACCCTCCACCATACTATGGAGGGTATATTAATTTTGTCATTCCGTTTGTAACTCCTCGAAATACTCATGTCAGACCCAACAAAGTATATATATTCTTGATCAGCGTAAAATTCTAAGACGATTTAGCCATGTCCGTCTGTCTGTCTGTCTGTCTGTTGTAATCACGCTATCTTTCGAACAAATTGAGAGAGAAGGCTAAAATTTTGCACACATGTATATTTTACCAGTAGGCAGGTTAAGTTCGTAAATGGGCCATGTAGATCCAAGTTATCATATAGCCTCCATATAACTATACCCCCCGATATTCGGTATTTTGATTATTTTAGCGACATTCTTTACCGAAATCGTTTCCAATTTGGTATTTGAAGTTCGTAATGGATACTACATCCTAAGTCGAAAAATGAGCCATGTAGGTCCACGTCTTCATATAGCCCCCATATACCGTACCCCCCGATATTCGGTATTTTGATGATTTTAGCGACATTATTTACCGGGATTGTTTCAAATTTGACATGTGAAATTCGTAATGTATACTTCAGCCCATGCCAGAAAATTGTCTGCGCAGGTCCACGTCTTCGTATAGCCCCCATATAACGGTACCCCCATATTCGGTATTTTAATGATTTTAGCTACATTATAAACTGATTTCTCTTCAAGTTTCGCATTTAAATATTGTAATAACTTATGACAAAAGTTGCCTATGCAGGCCACGTCGTCGTAGAAGAATTCGGTATTCTTAATATTTTAACAGAATTTTTAACGGATTTTATTTTTTGGAAATTGCCAAATTTGTACCATATGGTGGAGGGTATTAAAAGTCCGGCCCGGCCAAACTTACAGCTTTTTTACTTGTTTATTTTAGTGACATTATTCACCGGAATTTTTCTAATTTTGTATTTGAAATTCGTAATGAGTACTACAATCTGTGACAGAAAATTGTCTGTGCAGGTCCACGTCTTCGTATAGCCAACGGTAACTCCCTTTATTCGATATTCCGATGATATAAGCGACTTTATTCACCGGAATTGTTTCAAAATGGCACAGCATATTACCTATGTAGGATATGTCTTCGTATAGCTCCCACATAAAAGGTATTTTTCCACAAAATTTTTGGAAATATTTGAAGCTTGTTCCAAGCTTCTTAGCTTCTCTGTTATTTGTTTTATGTTAACATGTTTCCGTTGTGACAGCGCCTCTACATATTTTGACATTAATTATTGTTCATAATACATTTTGCCTAGTCTTTAACATTATATGTATTTATTGATAATTCTTTGGCTGAGAATTTACAATTTCTTGCATGACAAATATCATTACTTGTAACTCTTTTTATGCCCTCCACCACACTATGGAGAGTATATTAATTTTATCATTCCGTTTGTAACTCATTATAATACAACCTATGACAAAAAATACTTATGTATGTCCACGTCTTCGTAAAGCCCCCTATATAACTTCTAATACTCAACATTTTTAAGTAATTAGAGATATTAAAGACCGGAATTGTTTCAAATTTCGTATTTGAAGTTGGTAATGGATACTAAAACTAAAAAAACATTTATAATTTGAGGGAAAACTGTGATAATTGTTGTATTTAAATTTGTGCTTCAATTTAATGAAACAGAATGAATGAATGAATGAATGAATGAATGAATGAATGAAACGTTACGTTATAGATTTGTCCTTGGGCCAAACAAATGATGCATGGAAAATTTTATCTCGCTTGTACAATAAATGTGACCTGCATTTTGTTCATAAAAATACATGGGCAGACGGACAGACTTACTGATATGTATAAACCGTCACAGAATGTGATTCTATGAAGATTACCAACGGATGTACGGACTACCTCACGTATTTCTACCTGCTACAAACATGCACAACTACAGAATACACTGCACTATAGTGCAATTTTGAAGAATATTGAAAAGTTAAAAAAATCCGTCGAAAAAATCACTTAAATAAAACCCGTTGTCATTTAAATACTCATGTCGGACCCAACAAAGTTTATAATACAACCTATGACAAAAAATTACTTATGTATGTCCACGTCTTCCTAAAGCCCCCTATATATCTTCTAATACTCAAGATTTTTAAGTAATTAGAGATATTAAAGACCGGAATTGTTTCAAATTTCGTATTTGAAGTTCGTAATGGATACTAAAACCTACACTGAAAGAAAAAAGCTTCGTTGTCTTCGTAAAGCCCCTACATAACTTTTAATACTCAACATTTTTAAGTAATTAGAGATATTAAAGACCGGAATTGTTTCAAATTTCGTATTTCAAGTTCGTAATGGATACTAAAACCTACACTGAAAGAAAAATGCTTCGTTGTATTAATAAACCGGTCTCATTGATTTTTTTCATTGATGCAATGAAACGCAACATGTATATAATGAATGTTTTAAAATTTAATGATTTTTGTTTTCATTCACTTATTTGTGCAAAATTTCGTAAAAAATGTGTATATAGAAATCATACATAACAGCGCCGTCTGATACAAACAATTACGCAACCAAAGCATTTATAATTTGAGGGAAACTGTGATAATTGTTGTATTTAACTTTGTGCTTCAATTTAACGAAAAAGAATGAATGAAACGTTACGTTATAGATTTGTCCTTGGGCCAAACAAATGATGCATGGAAATTTTTATCTCACTTGTACAATAAATGTGACCTGCATTTTGTTCATAAAAATACATGGGCAGACGGACAGACTTACTGATATGTATAAACCGTCACAGAATGTGATTCTATGAAGATTACCAACGGAAATACGGACTACCTTACGTATTTCTACCTGCTACAAACATGCACAACTACAGAATACACTGTACTATAGTGCAATTTTGAAGAATATTGGAAAGTAAAAAAAATCCGTCGAAAGAATTATTTAAAAATAACCCGTTGTATGGGGTCTACAAAGACGCGGGCCTGAAAAGTAATTTTCTGTCATAGGCTGTAGTACCGATTCTGAACTTCAAATACGAAATTTGCAACAATTCCGTTAAATATGTCGCTAATATCATCAAACTGGAAACAATTTTTTTGAATAATGTTGCGAATATCATGAAAATAATGAATAAGACGAGGTTCGGTGACGTGGATCTGCCTAGACAATTTTTCGTTAAGGTCATTACATTTAAACACAATATTTAAAACAATTCTGTCCAAAAATGTGGCTAACATCATCAAAATACCGAATATCGGGGGTTACCGTTATATGAGGGCTATACGATATCGTGGACTTATACAGGCACTCAGAAGGAACTTCTTGTGTAGAATTTCAGAAAATTCAATTGAAAAACGTGACTAAAATGACCAAAATACCGAATACCTGTTGGGGGTTATATGGCGATATAGTAGACCAATATAGCCGCCTTCGAACTTCATCTGATCTGTGCATAATTCCTATCTTAATTCGTTTTGACTCTAGAGTGATTACAAAAGACAGACAGATGGACGGACGGACGGAATCATTTGTTTGTGTGTGTGTTGTTGCTGATATTCGTTTGTGTCTGATCGAGGTGAATGGTGGTTTATCACACACAAACGTATATCAGCAGCCACACACAAACCGTTAGTGGATATTGTCAAAAATCAAATTCTTGGTTAATCACATTCTATAATTGTATTCTGAAGTGAACGGTCGTAAAAAGTAAGTAGTAGTGGTTTAAAGAGCTTTATTAAAGTGATTTTATGTTAAAGTGTTTTAGAGAACAGAGAATTCACGTGTTTGGAATAAAAAAGTAAGTAAAAATATAAAGTGCTTTGAGTGTGCTACTGATTTTACAAAAATTTATAATCTATTTTTTTTAAAAGTAGCCGCAATATAAACGGTCAAACGACTGTCAATTGGTAAGTAAAAATTTCATTTGTATAAATTCAATGTGCTGATATAGCTTTAAATTGTCTTTTTTTTCAGATTGGTATCTATTTTAATGTTGTAAATGAACACGGATCATCTCTAATCGAGTGGCTTGACAAAATAAGGAACATTTTGACGAACATAAAAGAATCTATGAAATGTCGAGATCCTTATATGAATGCTATGCTATTAGATTCAGTGGACAAAGATGGATTTGGAAAAGGTAGGATATTTTAAAACCTATCATTAAATTGGTAATAAAAAATATTTTTATTTTCTAGAAAAGAATACATAAAAACCTTTATGGTGTCTTCATGACTATTTGTATCCTACAAAAAAATCATGCGCACTTTCCGCAAGTACAGTCATATGGGGGTTATACGAAGACGTAGACCTGCACAGTCAATTTTCTGTCTAAGCTGCAGTATCCCTTTGGAACTTCAAATACCAAATTTGAAACAATTTCAGTAAGTAATGCCGCTAAAATGATCAAAATACCAAATATCGGGAGGTACCGTTATGTGGGGGCTATATGAAAACGTGGACCTACATGGCTTATTTACGAGCTTAACCTGCCCACTGGCAAAATAAACATGTCTGCAAAATTTTAGCCTTCTATCTTGATTCAATCGAAAGATGGCGTGATTACAACAAACAGACAGAAAGACGGACATCACTAAGTCGCATAGAATTTTACGTTGATCAAGAATATATATACTTTGTAGGGTCTTACATGAGTATTTCGAGTTAATATACCCTCCATAGTATGGAAGAGTATAAAAAAATAATGTGCACAAATACTTTTGGAAAAAAGGATTTTCGATGATGTACAATTATATCCAGTTCACAGAACTTTTGTGTAAGGCAGACAAACAATTGATACCCAGACAATCAAGTTTTTATTTCAGTTCATTTACTGTTTTCTTCTGGGAATGAAAGCTAATTTTACCTATTGCCCTTCTGTCAAAATTTTGCTTATGTTTCCAAAAACAAAATTTGAATTTTTTTTTAAATGATTGCGTTCGTTGATTTCGGCTGCGCCGTGTCTGTGCCCGGACATAATCCCCATAATTGCAATGGTTTGTTTTTGGTCATAACCGCTTCCTAAACGGACACAATTCCCATGGGGAGTATGACCGTTTGCTGTGTGGACTACTTACAAAAATAATTAATTTTAGAAATCGTTGATGTGCGGGACATACTTAGAGAAGAAAATCTCAAGCCCCGGTCAAAGGCCGTTTACTTACAAAAATTATGAAATTTAAGTGCAGGACATACCCAGAGGGGAAGATCTCAATTATTTTTTATTTTGGGCATACCCATTATTATAGGGATTATGTCCTCAACATTCTGGGGATTGTGACCGAACCCCATAATGGAATGGGGATAATGTCCAAGACTATTAAAGACTCATAGTAGACTTTTATATATATATATTAATGAAACTATGCAGTCCTTGACCTCACAAATAGAATTCCTATTAAAATGGAACAAGTCAATACAACCATTTATCCTGGGTCTAGGAAACCCAAAAAAAGTGGACGTAGATACTTTTTTATACCCTCCATCATTCTATGGAGGGTATATTAATAACGAATTGAGATAGAAGGCTAAATTTTTGCATACATGCATAGTTTACAAGTAGGCAAGCTAAGTTCGTAAATGGGTCATGTCGGTCCACGTTTTCGTATAGCCCCCACATGACTATAACTCCCGATATTCGGTATTTTCATGATTTTAGCGACATTATTTCAAATTTCATATTTAAATTTCGTAATGGGTACTACTGCCTATGACAAAAATTGTTGTATGCAGTTCCACGTCTTCGTATAGCCCCATATAACGGTACCTCCCAAAATTCGGTAGGAGCTACACTATTCACCGATTTTTTTTTAAGTTTTGCTTTTGAATATTGTAATGGCTTGTGACAAAAGTTGCCTATGCAGGTCCACATAGTCGTATAGACCCTAAAATAACAGCTACATTCGGTGGAGGGTATTCAAAGTTCGCCCCGACCGAACTTACTGCGTTTTATTAATTTTTTTAAAGTTTAACTGTATTATCGCAATGGTCTTACGGCTATGTGAAGTATTGTACTGGTATATATTATAGTTGAACACCGTTTAGTTAAGATACTTCTTTATAAACATGTTTTCTTTACCCAATGGTTTTCGCTTATTCATATTCATGCATTCGTAGATGCGTTGCAAACTATGAGACATTTAGTGGGAATGGGACCAATAGAATCTGATTCAGTAAAGACTTTATACATCAAACTTCCTGTTTACATTAAACAATGGGGCAGAACTTGATTGTAGGGTTGACTTGTAAGATAAATTATGAAGGGAAATTCAAAAGTACGAACTATGTGTCTGAGAAAAGTTCAAACTAAAAGTAAATTTGTTAAATTCGAATTGTTGATACCGGAGTAACGGAAATTTGCTAGTTCATGGTTAAAATGCATGTATGATAGACTATGCTAAGTTCGGCCCGGCCGAACTTGTAATACCCTCCACCATTTTGAAAAATGTCAAAAAATTGCATCGAAAAACACCGCTCAAAGTATTACTCATTACGAGCTTCAAATGCGAAATTTAAACCAATTTCTGTAAATAATGTATTTAAAATCATCCAAACACGGAATATTGGGGGGTACCATTATATGGTCGATATCGTGGACCTTTATAAACCATTCTCTTTCAGGGAGTAAAGTATTTAGAAGGAACTACTTGTTTAGATTTTCGGACAATTCCATTGAAAATTTTGGCTAAAATCATCAATATACCGAATATCGGGTGTACCGTTATATGAGGACTATACGATATCGTGAGCCCATCTTCTATCGTCAGTAGACAAAATACTTTGTTAAATCCAAAATTATTATTTCAATGACTTACAAATTGTATGATGAACCTACTATACACTCCATACTATATACGGTGGAGGGTAAAAAAATCAAAGTCATAGAAGTACAAACATAGGAGAGGTAAGAGGCAAAATATTGGCACCGAGTGGATTTTCGCCTTGTTTAAATAAGAAAAAAGTCCAATCTCCATCTTCGATTGTCAATGTATGGTTTGGCCGTAGAATCAATTCTCTATCCGACTCGAAGGGCCAAATGTAGAAGATGAGAAAGAAAATACAACCGCTTCGTTCGGGTGTAATTTCAATTCTAGTTTTTGTTTAAAATTATGTTCCTTAAATACTACTGAAACTAATCTAACTTAACCTAATCACAGCCATACAATTATTCTTATCTATACTAATATTGAATGGAGAACATTGCATCATTCATTTCATCCAAGTGGTCTTGTATATCTACTGAGCGCAACCATATCTGTGCGAGTGGGTCATAACCTTTATTATCTCACACATATTGTAGGCGTCAGCGGACAGGATCACCGAACTGTTCACATGTGATATTTTATGCAGGCTGGGAAATATTTAATCTTAGAATATATAGTTTTATTGCTAGATTTTCCCAGCACCTCAACCTCAAAAGTATGAACAAAGTGTTTTGTATATTCTCACTGGCGACATAAATGTGCATGTTTATATTGGACTGTATTTTTATAAAATTTAAAAATTGATTGGCACGAAATATTTAATTATAACAATATCAAATATAATCTATATATAAACATGTATATACTATGTAAAATAAAATTAATATCTTGTTAGGTAACCGCTTCTACGAAACGACTCCGCTTCTTTGCTGATACCAACACCTATATCTGCCGGCTACATTGTCCATGCTGCCGAATGAATAGTCCATCGTTGCAGACTGTCATCATCCCTATAGAAAAGGATTTACAATGGTTTTATGGTATGCTTTGGCTTGTCGCCATCTGTTTTCACGGCCATTGACGATTTGCTAATGATTTTTTCCTAATAACACCCTTCCAGAACCAGAGAAATTGGCTTTTCCTACTTCTTCGATGCATTCGGTATTTTAATGATTTTAGCTACATTATAAACTGATTTCTCTTCAAGTTTCGCATTTAAATATTGTAATAACTTATGACAAAAGTTGCCTATGCAGGCCACGTCGTCGTAGAAGAATTCGGTATTCTTAAGATTTTAACAGAATTTTTAACGGATTTTATTTTTTGGAAATTGCCAAATTTGTACCATATGGTGGAGGGTATTAAAAGTCCGGCCCGGCCAAACTTACAGCTTTTTTACTTGTTTATTTTAGTGACATTATTCACCGGAATTTTTCTAATTTTGTATTTGAAATTCGTAATGAGTACTACAATCTGTGACAGAAAATTGTCTGTGCAGGTCCACGTCTTCGTATAGCCAACGGTAACTCCCTTTATTCGATATTCCGATGATATAAGCGACTTTATTCACCGGAATTGTTTCAAAATGGCACAGCATATTACCTATGTAGGATATGTCTTCGTATAGCTCCCACATAAAAGGTATTTTTTCACAAAATTTTTGGAAATATTTGAAGCTTGTTCCACGCTTCTTAGCTTCTTAGCTTCTCTGTTATTTGTTTTATGTTAACATGTTTCCGTTGTGACAGCGCCTCTACATATTTTGACATTAATTATTGTTCATAATACATTTTGCCTAGTCTTTAACATTATATGTATTTATTGATAATTCTTTGGCTGAGAATTTACAATTTCTTGCATGACAAATATCATTACTTGTAACTCTTTTTATGCCCTCCACCACACTATGGAGAGTATATTAATTTTATTATTCCGTTTGTAACTCATTATAATACAACCTATGACAAAAAAATACTTATGTATGTCCACGTCTTCGTAAAGCCCCCTATATAACTTCTAATACTCAACATTTTTAAGTAATTAGAGATATTAAAGACCGGAATTGTTTCAAATTTCGTATTTGAAGTTGGTAATGGATACTAAAACTAAAAAAAACATTTATAATTTGAGGGAAAACTGTGATAATTGTTGTATTTAAATTTGTGCTTCAATTTAATGAAACAGAATGAATGAATGAATGAATGAAACGTTACGTTATAGATTTGTCCTTGGGCCAAACAAATGATGCATGGAAAATTTTATCTCGCTTGTACAATAAATGTGACCTGCATTTTGTTCATAAAAATACATGGGCAGACGGACAGACTTACTGATATGTATAAACCGTCACAGAATGTGATTCTATGAAGATTACCAACGGATGTACGGACTACCTCACGTATTTCTACCTGCTACAAACATGCACAACTACAGAATACACTGCACTATAGTGCAATTTTGAAGAATATTGAAAAGTTAAAAAAATCCGTCGAAAAAATCACTTAAATAAAACCCGTTGTCATTTAAATACTCATGTCGGACCCAACAAAGTTTATAATACAACCTATGACAAAAAATTACTTATGTATGTCCACGTCTTCCTAAAGCCCCCTATATCTTCTAATACTCAAGATTTTTAAGTAATTAGAGATATTAAAGACCGGAATTGTTTCAAATTTCGTATTTGAAGTTCGTAATGGATACTAAAACCTACACTGAAAGAAAAAAGCTTCGTTGTCTTCGTAAAGCCCCTACATAACTTTTAATACTCAACATTTTTAAGTAATTAGAGATATTAAAGACCGGAATTGTTTCAAATTTCGTATTTCAAGTTCGTAATGGATACTAAAACCTACACTGAAAGAAAAATGCTTCGTTGTATTAATAAACCGGTCTCATTGATTTTTTTCATTGATGCAATGAAACGCAACATGTATATAATGAATGTTTTGTTCATGCAATGGAAACTTACGCTGCTTTAAAATTTAATGATTTTTGTTTTCATTCACTTATTTGTGCAAAATTTCGTAAAAAATGTGTATATAGAAATCATACATAACAGCGCCGTCTGATACAAACAATTACGCAACCAAAGCATTTATAATTTGAGGGAAACTGTGATAATTGTTGTATTTAACTTTGTGCTTCAATTTAACGAAAAAGAATGAATGAAACGTTACGTTAAAGATTTGTCCTTTGGCCAAACAAATGATGCATGGAAATTTTTATCTCGCTTGTACAATAAATGTGACCTGCATTTTGTTCATAAAAATACATGGGCAGACGGACAGACTTACTGATATGTATACACCGTCACAGAATGTGATTCTATGAAGATTACCAACGGAAATACGGACTACCTTACGTATTTCTACCTGCTACAAACATGCACAACTACAGAATACACTGTACTATAGTGCAATTTTGAAGAATATTGGAAAGTAAAAAAAATCCGTCGAAAGAATTATTTAAAAATAACCCGTTGTATGGGGTCTACAAAGACGCGGGCCTGAAAAGTAATTTTCTGTCATAGGCTGTAGTACCGATTCTGAACTTCAAATACGAAATTTGCAACAATTCCGTTAAATATGTCGCTAATATCATCAAACTGGAAACAATTTTTTTGAATAATGTTGCGAATATCATGAAAATAATGAATAAGGCGAGGTTCGGTGACGTGGATCTGCCTAGACAATTTTTCGTTAAGGTCATTACATTTAAACACAATATTTAAAACAATTCTGTCCAAAAATGTGGCTAACATCATCAAAATACCGAATATCGGGGGTTACCGTTATATGAGGGCTATACGATATCGTGGACTTATACAGGCACTCAGAAGGAACTTCTTGTGTAGAATTTCAGAAAATTCAATTGAAAAACGTGACTAAAATGACCAAAAATGACCTGTTGGGGGTTATATGGCGATATAGTAGACCAATATAGCCGCCTTCGAACTTCATCTGATCTGTGCATAATTCCTATCTTAATTCGTTTTGACTCTAGAGTGATTACAAAAGACAGACAGATGGACGGACAGACGGAATCATTTGTTTGTGTGTGTGTTGTTGCTGATATTCGTTTGTGTCTGATCGTGGTGAATGGTGGTTTATCACACACAAACGTATATCAGCAGCCACACACAAACCGTTAGTGGATATTGTCAAAAATCAAATTCTTGGTTAATCACATTCTATAATTGTATTCTGAAGTGAACGGTCGTAAAAAGTAAGTAGTAGTGGTTTAAAGAGCTTTATTAAAGTGATTTTGTGTTAAAGTGTTTTAGAGAACAGAGAATTCACGTGTTTGGAATAAAAAAGTAAGTAAAAATATAAAGTGCTTTGAGTGTGCTACTGATTTTACAAAAATTTATAATCTATTTTTTTTAAAAGTAGCCGCAATATAAACGGTCAAACGACTGTCAATTGGTAAGTAAAAATTTCATTTGTATAAATTCAATGTGCTGATATAGCTTTAAATTGTCTTTTTTTTCAGATTGGTATCTATTTTAATGTTGTAAATGAACACGGATCATCTCTAATCGAGTGGGTTGACAAAATAAGGAACATTTTGACGAACATAAAAGAATCTATGAAATGTCGAGATCCTTATATGAATGCTATGCTATTAGATTCAGTGGACAAAGATGGATTTGGAAAAGGTAGGATATTTTAAAACCTATCATTAAATTGGTAATAAAAAATATTTTTATTTTCTAGAAAAGAATACATAAAAACCTTTATGGTGTCTTCATGACTATTTGTATCCTACAAAAAAATCATGCGCACTTTCCGCAAGTACAGTCATATGGGGGTTATACGAAGACGTAGACCTGCACAGTCAATTTTCTGTCTAAGCTGCAGTATCCCTTTGGAACTTCAAATACCAAATTTGAAACAATTTCAGTAAGTAATGCCGCTAAAATGATCAAAATACCAAATATCGGGAGGTACCGTTATGTGGGGGCTATATGAAAACGTGGACCTACATGGCTTATTTACGAGCTTAACCTGCCCACTGGCAAAATAAACATGTCTGCAAAATTTTAGCCTTCTATCTTGATTCAATCGAAAGATGGCGTGATTACAACAAACAGACAGAAAGACGGACATCACTAAGTCGCATAGAATTTTACGTTGATCAAGAATATATATACTTTGTAGGGTCTTACATGAGTATTTCGAGTTAATATACCCTCCATAGTATGGAAGAGTATAAAAAAATAATGTGCACAAATACTTTTGGAAAAAAGGATTTTCGATGATGTACAATTATATCCAGTTCACAGAACTTTTGTGTAAGGCAGACAAACAATTGATACCCAGACAATCAAGTTTTTATTTCAGTTCATTTACTGTTTTCTTCTGGGAATGAAAGCTAATTTTACCTATTGCCCTTCTGTCAAAATTTTGCTTATGTTTCCAAAAACAAAATTTGAAATTTTTTTAAATGATTGCGTTCGTTGATTTCGGCTGCGCCGTGTCTGTGCCCGGACATAATCCCCATAATTGCAATGGTTTGTTTTTGGTCATAACCGCTTCCTAAACGGACACAATTCCCATGGGGAGTATGACCGTTTGCTGTGTGGACTACTTACAAAAATAATTAATTTTAGAAATCGTTGATGTGCGGGACATACTTAGAGAAGAAAATCTCAAGCCCCGGTCAAAGGCCGTTTACTTACAAAAATTATGAAATTTAAGTGCAGGACATACCCAGAGGGGAAGATCTCAATTATTTTTTATTTTGGGCATACCCATTATTATAGGGATTATGTCCTCAACATTCTGGGGATTGTGACCGAACCCCATAATGGAATGGGGATAATGTCCAAGACTATTAAAGACTCATAGTAGACTTTTATATATATATATTAATGAAACTATGCAGTCCTTGACCTCACAAATAGAATTCCTATTAAAATGGAACAAGTCAATACAACCAAACACAAAAAAAGTGGACGTAGATACTTTTTTATACCCTCCATCATTCTATGGAGGGTATATTAACAACGAATTGAGATAGAAGGCTAAATTTTTGCATACATGCATAGTTTACAAGTAGGCAAGCTAAGTTCGTAAATGGGTCATGTCGGTCCACGTTTTCGTATAGCCCCCACATGACTATAACTCCCGATATTCGGTATTTTCATGATTTTAGCGACATTATTTCAAATTTCATATTTAAATTTCGTAATGGGTACTACTGCCTATGACAAAAATTGTTGTATGCAGTTCCACGTCTTCGTATAGCCCCATATAACGGTACCTCCCAAAATTCGGTAGGAGCTACACTATTCACCGATTTTTTTTTAAGTTTTGCTTTTGAATATTGTAATGGCTTGTGACAAAAGTTGCCTATGCAGGTCCACATAGTCGTATAGACCCTAAAATAACAGCTACATTCGGTGGAGGGTATTCAAAGTTCGCCCCGACCGAACTTACTGCGTTTTATTAATTTTTTTAAAGTTTAACTGTATTATCGCAATGGTCTTACGGCTATGTGAAGTATTGTACTGGTATATAGTATAGTTGAACACCGTTTAGTTAAGATACTTCTTTATAAACATGTTTTCTTTACCCAATGGTTTTCGCTTATTCATATTCATGCATTCGTAGATGCGTTGCAAACTATGAGACATTTAGTGGGAATGGGACCAATAGAATCTGATTCAGTAAAGACTTTATACATCAAACTTCCTGTTTACATTAAACAATGGGGCAGAACTTGATTGTAGGGTTGACTTGTAAGATAAATTATGAAGGGAAATTCAAAAGTACGAACTATGTGTCTGAGAAAAGTTCAAACTAAAAGTAAATTTGTTAAATTCGAATTGTTGATACCGGAGTAACGGAAATTTGCTAGTTCATGGTTAAAATGCATGTATGATAGACTATGCTAAGTTCGGCCCGGCCGAACTTGTAATACCCTCCACCATTTTGAAAAATGTCAAAAAATTGAATCGAAAAACACCGCTCAAAGTATTACTCATTACGAGCTTCAAATGCGAAATTTAAACCAATTTCTGTAAATAATGTATTTAAAATCATCCAAACACGGAATATTGGGGGGTACCATTATATGGTCGATATCGTGGACCTTTATAAACCATTCTCTTTCAGGGAGTAAAGTATTTAGAAGGAACTACTTGTTTAGATTTTCGGACAATTCCATTGAAAATTTTGGCTAAAATCATCAATATACCGAATATCGGGTGTACCGTTATATGAGGACTATACGATATCGTGAGCCCATCTTCTATCGTCAGTAGACAAAATACTTTGTTAAATCCAAAATTATTATTTCAATGACTTACAAATTGTATGATGAACCTACTATACACTCCATACTATATACGGTGGAGGGTAAAAAAATCAAAGTCATAGAAGTACAAACATAGGAGAGGTAAGAGGCAAAATATTGGCACCGAGTGGATTTTCGCCTTGTTTAAATAAGAAAAAAGTCCAATCTCCATCTTCGATTGTCAATGTATGGTTTGGCCGTAGAATCAATTCTCTATCCGACTCGAAGGGCCAAATGTAGAAGATGAGAAAGAAAATACAACCGCTTCGTTCGGGTGTAATTTCAATTCTAGTTTTTGTTTAAAATTATGTTCCTTAAATACTACTGAAACTAATCTAACTTAACCTAATCACAGCCATACAATTATTCTTATCTATACTAATATTGAATGGAGAACATTGCATCATTCATTTCATCCAAGTGGTCTTGTATATCTACTGAGCGCAACCATATCTGTGCGAGTGGGTCATAACCTTTATTATCTCACACATATTGTAGGCGTCAGCGGACAGGATCACCGAACTGTTCACATGTGATATTTTATGGAGGCTGGGAAATATTTAATCTTAGAATATATAGTTTTATTGCTAGATTTTCCCAGCACCTCAACCTCAAAAGTATGAACAAAGTGTTTTGTATATTCTCACTGGCGACATAAATGTGCATGTTTATATTGGACTGTATTTTTATAAAATTTAAAAATTGATTGGCACGAAATATTTAATTATAACAATATCAAATATAATCTATATATAAACATGTATATACTATGTAAAATAAAATTAATATCTTGTTAGGTAACCGCTTCTACGAAACGACTCCGCTTCTTTGCTGATACCAACACCTATATCTGCCGGCTACATTGTCCATGCTGCCGAATGAATAGTCCATCGTTGCAGACTGTCATCATCCCTATAGAAAAGGATTTACAATGGTTTTATGGTATGCTTTGGCTTGTCGCCATCTGTTTTCACGGCCATTGACGATTTGCTAATGATTTTTTTCCTAATAACACCCTTCCAGAACCAGAGAAATTGGCTTTTCCTACTTCTTCGATGCATTCTTTTCCACATTCGTTGGAAGTGATGGGGCCTTCTGTACGTATCGGCATTCCTCCTTTATTATCTTCTGCAATTAGATTATTTATTTCCTTTCCTACCAAATGTATGTAAATGTCCTCATTGCCATTGCTATTATTATTTATAATAAATAGATAAGTTCCCCCGGAGTTGTTTATTGGTCAGAGCTGAATATGTTCCTTTCTTACATATGACTGTTGTTTAGACAGGTCATCTCTCTCAGATTCGACGACTTGCCTTTCCTCTTGCTCCGTGTCTTCAATTTTATTTTGTTGGAATTGTTTCAAATTTCTTATTTTAAGTTCGTAATGAGTATTATAACCTCTGACAGAAAACTCTCTCAGCAGGTCCACGTCTTCGCATACCCGTATATAACGGTAACTCCCCTTATTCGATATTCCGATGATATTAGAGACCATATTCCAGAATTGTTTCAAAATGGCACAACATATGACAGATAATTACCTATGTAGGATGTCTTCGAACATTAAAGAATGTATTAAATGTCGAGGTCTCTTTATGAAGAAGCTATTAGATTTAGTGAACACGGATGGATTCGAAAAAGATTGGGTGTCTTAAAACTTATCATTAAATGTATAATTATAAATACTTTTTATTTTCTAGATAACAATACATTAAAACTTTTATGATGTCTTTATGACTATTTGTACCCTACAAAAAAAAAAAAAACAAGTTACAAAGCAATAAGTTCCCTTCCCCTTTTGGAAATTTTCTAAAAATAAAACCCGTAAAAATTCTGTTTAAATCTTAAAAGTACCGAATATAGCCGTTATATTGTGGCCTATACGATGTGGACCTACGTAGGCATTGTTGTCATAAGCCATTGCCATATTCAAATTCGAAACTTGAAATAAACGGTGAATAATGTAGCTAAAATCATCAAAATACCGCACAAAACCTAAACTTGCATAGACAATTTTCTGCTACAGCCTGTAGCATCCACTACGAACTTCAAATATGACATCTCAAACAATTTCGCTGAGTATTGTACCTAAAATCGTCAAAATACCGAATATAGGAAGGTACTGATATATTGGGCCTATACGAAGACCTGGACCTGCATAGACAACTTTTTGTCTTAGGCTGTAGTATCCATTACGAACTTCAAATACTAAATTTGAAACGATTCTAGTGAATAATGTCGCTAAAATCATCAACATACCGAATATCGGGAGGTACCACTATATGGGGTATGCACGAAGACGTGGACCTGCACAGTCAATTTTCTGTCTTAACAACAGTCATATGGGGGTTATACGAAGGCGTAGACCTGCACAGTCAAAATGTTGTCTATCTGGTTTCATACATCCGACTAATTATTAAGAATCAAACGCTCGTATCAAAAATTAATTATTCATATCCGCAATCAATAGTTTGTAAGTTTCAAACTATTGATTGCGGATATGACTGTTGTTAAGAAAGAAAATTGACTGTGCAGGTCCACGTCTTCGTGCATATCTGAAGGCCAGTAAGTTATTATTATTTAGAATAGACAATAGTTATTTCGATTAATTTTATTATTATTACTAGCATTATTATTTTTCTATTGTGTGAAATTTGAAGAGAGTTACATGCTTATTTAGCTTGAAATTCGGTACAAGGTACAAGAAGAAATGGTCCGATCTATACCATCTTTATAAACGATCTTTTGTTAATGGAAATATTGAGATATACCAAGTCTGAATGGAATCGAATTTCCATTTCGCGTTTTATGAGCTTCATGGATACCCAAAATTTTTAACCTTTGTGGGGGAGGTACAAAACGGAGTGGGCTGATATATTTCGATTTTAGACCAGACCTTGGGTTAATAAAGATATCTTGTGTGTTGTTTTAAGAGAACAGGATGCATGATCGTTTTGGTTATTTAAAACTTTGACCCTTTGTTCGGGAGATACCAGTAGGAATGGTCCGATATATTCCATCTTCACACCGGACTTTGGTTTAATAAAAATATTGTGATGTGTGTAGTTTGAAGACAATCGGACACTTACATCACGTTATGTAAGAGTTATAATTATTCAAAATTTTGACGATTTGTGGGGGAGGTTCTTGATGAATTGGACCTATATTGTCCATTTTCGTACCCGATCTAGTGCTGACGCAAATATTAGGATTCGCAAACTTGGAGCAAAATCGGGTTATCCTTTCTCTTTCTGTGTAGTAAATTATTTTCTTTGAAAATGTTGACATTTTGTGTGTTAGGTTCCAGAATTAATGTCCAAGGTCTACGGCCAACATGTTTGCGTGCCCAAGGCTTTAATACACCCTCCAGAATATTTTCGCGATAATACTTGGCTTTCATCCTGATGCCACGGTCGATTAATACGAGCGGAGAGCGACCATCGGCTATTATAGCACCCCCACCCTCACCATGGACGGCGCTTGAGTTCCGATGGCCAACCGAAGGTGCACATTTTCAGCTGACCTCTTTGGCAAGTATACACGACAATTTTGTTTGTTTACAAACTGCTGGACAACGAATGTTTTCTCATTGGTGAAAACCAAATTCGGCAGTTCACCACTTTCGGTCAAGCGAAGGATCTCTAGCTCTTTTGAGTCTATTTTCTTTCTGTTGCGGTGTAAGTTCTTGTACTTTTTGGAATTTCAATGGCTTCATCCTAAGCTCATTTTTCAATATTTGCCGAATGGATGCGGGTTTTAATCAAGTCGCTTCTATACTTTTCGAACAATTTCTGCTGATGTTGTTGTTTTCTTCCGTTCACTTCCTTGACATCGGGCTCCGCTACCAGTTTCACGGTACGAGACACAAAAGATTTATTCACATTTAAATGCTGGAGTGCACTAACGAAATCATACTATCACGGGAGGAACCGTTATATGGGGGATATACAAAAACGTGTACCTACACATACAATTTTCCGCCAATGGAGCTAGAACAATTTATGACCTATAAATAAAAACTTTTAGACAAATCCGTTGAAAATGTGGCGAAAATCATCAAAATACCGAATATTGGGAGGTACCACCACACTAGGGAGGGTACATTAATTTTGTCATTCCGTTTGTAACTCATCAAAATACTCATGTCGGACCCAACGAAGTTTATATATTCTATACTTCTATATTCTATTTCTTGATCAGATTCTAAGTCGATTTAAATATGTCCGTCTGTCTGTCCGTCTTTCTGTTGTAATCACGCTATCTTTCGAAGGAATTGAGGTAGAGGGCTAGAATTTTGAGCACATGTGTATTTTGCCAGTAGGCTGTTAAGTTCGCAAATGGGGCATGTCGGTTCACGTTTTCGTATAGTTCTCATATAACGGTACTTCCCGAAATTCAGTGTTTTTGTGATATAAGTCCCATTATTAAACGGAATTTTGTTAAATTTCGTATTGAAAGATCTTATGGGTTACTACAGCCTATGACAAAAAATGAATTATGCAGGTCCACGTTTTCCTATAGCCCCCATATATTGGTAACTCCCGATATTTGGTATTTTCATTATTTTAAATTTCGTAATGGGTACTACTGCCTATGACAAACATTTTTGTATGCAGTTTCATGTCTTCGCATAGCCCCATATAACGGTACCTCCCAAAATTCGGTAGGTGCAACATTATTAACCTATTTTGTTTTTCAAGTTTTGCTTTTGAATATTGTAATAGCTTTTGACAAAAGTTGCCTAAACAGGTTCACATAGTCGTATAGACCCTAAAATAACAGCTGCATTCGGTATTTTTAAGATTTTAACAGAATTTTTAACGGATTTTATTTGTTTTGAAATTGCCAAATTCGTTCCAAATGGTGGAGGGTATTCAAAGTTCGGTCCGGCCGAACTTACACATTTTGTATCTATTTATTTTTTAAGTTCAACTGCATTATCCAAACTGTCTTACTGGTATGTGTAGTTTAAAGTGGAACACGGTTAAATTATTATACTTCTTTATAAACATGTCTTTATCTAATGGTTTTTATACCCTCCACCATACTATGGAGGGTATATTAATTTTGTCATTCCGTTTGTAACTCCTCGAAACACTCATGTCAGACCCAACAAAGTATATATATTCTTGATCAGCGTACAATTCTAAGACGATTTAGCCATGTCCGTCTGTCTGTCTGTGTGTCTGTCTGTCTGTTGTAATCACGCTATCTTTCGAACAAATTGAGAGAGAAGGCTAAAACTTTGCACACATGTATATTTTGCCAGTGGGCAGGTTAAGTTCGTAAATGGGCCATGTAGGTCCAAGTTATCATATAACCCCCATATAAATGTACCTCCCGATATTCAGTATATTGATGATTTTAGCGACATTATTTACCGGGATTGTTTCAAATTTGGCATGTGAAGTTCGTAATGGATACTTCAGCCAATGCCAGAAAATTTTCTGCGCAGGTCCACGTCTTCGTGTAGCCCCCATATAACGGTACCCCCCGATATTCGGTATTTCGATGATTTTAGCGACATTCTTTACCGAAATCGTTTCCAATTTGGTATTTGAAGTTCGTAATGGACAGAGATGGGCATAATGCACTGTATTTTTAGTGCACTAATAATTTCACTATCACTGTTCATTTAGTGGTAGTGCAATTTTTAATTCCACTACCACTAAAGGGTTAGTGGTAGTGAAAAATAAATTGCACTACCACTAATCCTTTAGTGATATTTAAAAAGAAAAAAAATTGCACTACCACTAAATTTTAGTGGTAGTGAAATTTCAATAGCACTACCACTAAATTTAGTGGTATTTAAAAAAACTTGCACTAAATTAGTGGCATTTCATAAAAAATAGCACTAAATTAGTGCTATTTAGAAAAGTAATCAAATTTTATGAATATGTACTATATATTCTGGATTGTTGTTCCCTACTCACTTTAATAAACTGGTATAATACTTATATACATAGTGCTTTTTTTGGCTTCGCTAAAATTTAGTGGTAGTGCAATTTTTTTTTTTGAAAAATCACTAAATTTATTGGTAGTGCTATTAAAATTTCACTACCACTAACATTTAGTGGTAGTGCATTTTTTTTTTAAATATCACTTAAGGGTTAGTGGTAGTGCAATTTATTTTTCACTACCACTAACCCTTTAGTGGCAGCCACACAATTATTCTTATATATATAAAGGGGAACATTGCAGGTCTGCTTGTCATTTCATCCAAGT